CTTTCTCTCTCTGTCCCCGCCACTCTCTTGCTCGCTCGCTCTCTCTCTCCTTCTCTCTTTCTCTCACACTCTCTCGCCCTCTCTCCCCCTCTCTCTTTCCTCCTCTCTCTCTCGCTCTCTCTCTCTCTCACTTTTCCTCGGTTACAGTCCCTTCCTATAACTGCCCGTTTAATAAATCTCTTGGTCTTAGCCAGGTGTGGAGTCATCACTGGCGCCGAAATCCTTTCAAGTGGCCACTGCACTCCAGTTTGGGCAACAGAGTGAGACTCCAACTCAAAAATAAATAAATAAATAAAAATAAATCAAATTTAAAAAATTAAAAACAGAAGTTAATAATGGTTTGTACATTATGAGTATATTATAACAACTTATATTGGGAATAAAAATGTTTCAGTATTTTATGACAACTACCTAATCAAAACCTGTGATGCATGTAGGCACCCATACCTGTAATAATTCCAGGGTCATAGGAATATTCTTAAGTTCCTTCAGCAAATCCAGTGCACCAGCCTATAAAATAAAATAATATCACATTGAACTCCCAAGACAGTAGAGCAGGAACTAGTCATACATTTAAACTTATGATTCCTACCCATACCTCATCATGGCTCATTTATTCACAAGATCAACGACACATATATACACATACACACAATGTCATTCAAATGGAGGTGGAACGCCCAACAGAGGATCATAAAATCCATTTACTTGGTGACGGCCAGCACTTGTAAAGCAATTGATAAGTATTGTTTTCTAAAAGTTTATTTACTTTCTCTTTTCTTTTTTTTTTTTGAGACAGGATCTCACTCTGTCTCCGAGGCTGGAGTGCAGTGGTTCAGTCACTGCTTACTGCAGCCTTGACCTCCTAGAATTAATCTTCTTGCCTCGGCCTCCCAAGTAGCTAGAACTATAGGCACACACCACCCACACCCAACTAATTTTTGTGTTTTTTATTAGCGTCTCACTAATTTGCCTAGGCTATTTTCAAACTCCTGGCCACCTCAAGGAATCCAACCTCAGTCTGCGAAAATGCTGGGATTAAAGATGTGAGTCACCACACCCAGCCTGTTTTCTGAGTTTATTTTTAATAATATTTATTAATGTGTGTGTACATGCCAGGCACAGTGGCTCATGCCTGTAATCCCAGCACTTTGGGAGGCAGAGGTGAGAGGACTGCCAGAGCCCAGAGGTTTAAGACCAGCCTGAGCAACTTGACGAGGTCAAAAAAAAAATTGGCTGGGCATGGAGGTACATGCCTGTAGTCCCAGCTAATCAGAAGGCTGAAGGGAAAGGATAGCCTGAGCCCAGGAAGTCAAGGCTTCATGGCTGCACGTGGCCTGGACAACACAGTGAGACTCTGACTCCAAAAAAAGAAAAAGTGTGTGTACCTAGTAGAAACATAAAACTTCCTACTGTGGGTTATAACATACCCCAAATTTCCATGGAATTACCCGCCTGAGAAAGGAGCTAACTCTGAGAAAGCTGAAGTAGGGGTCAGTAGATGCTGCAGCCTCTCTAGCATTTACTCACACACAGGGAGACTGAGAAACTTAGCTAGAGTCTTCATGAAGTCTGCCTGTACCTCACTGGTCTGTCACAAGAATGCTGCTGTCTACCCGGTTCTCTGCATAGCAGCAAAGAGTAAATCTAAAAGAAAACTGAGAATAATTAAGATACTTGATAGGTTCAAAGGCCTATCTGCTGCCAATTCCCTTCTAGAGTTAAAAGCTCCCATGTAGATGAAGAGAGAACAAAATAAGGCTCATGGAAGAATTACAGAAACCACCTGAAGTTGAGAGGAATTAAAATTAGATAAGAAGCAACAGCACCACCTATAGCTTGTGGCCAAATATTTCAATCTGACATTCATTTAATCCACACATAATATTTCATCTAATCTAATTCATTCACTTAATCATATTTCATTTAGTCTAACATTTCTTTAATGTACTATATTTGGACACATCATTTTTTCACATGTCAGCAATAAAGAAAAAACTATTAAGCTATGACACTGTGTTCTTATAACATCTTTTTACTTTTGATACTGAAAGAATTCTTTTAGACTTGGAATTTTTATCTTACATAAATTGGCTAAGGTATTCCTAAAAGTACTTCACACTCAGAGTCCGATGCTTCAGAATCATTTTTTGACTCAGACTCAACAATATGTTTTCATCCCACAAAGAATGGTATAGTGACATAGCATTTCTTTCTTTTTTTTTTTTTTTGAGTCGGAGTCTCACTCTGTTGCCCAGCCTGGAGTGCAGTGGCATGCTCATGGCCACCACAGCCTCAACCTGCTGGGCTCAGGTGATCCTTCTTCCTTCTGCCTCAACCTTCCAAGTAGCTGGAACTACAGGCACATGCCACCACGCCCGACTAATTTTTTTTTTTTATTAATTGTAGGGACGAGATCTCGCCAAGTTGCCCAGGCTGGTCTCAAATCCCCGGGCTCAGGCAATCCTCTCGCCTTGACCTCCCAGAGTGCTGGGATTACAGGTTTGAGCCACCGTGACTGGCCTGTGACACAACATTTCATAAAAGAGATAATGCCATTAGCTCTCAGGCTGGCTTTGTAGAGGGCAGAGTTGCTTTTCACCCCACAGCTCTTCACAGCCATTTGGTTCCTCAAGATTCAAAGAGTACTCCACTAATGTCTCTGAGATTTCCTTCCAAGTCAGCGACACTTATCCCATAAGTCTTGATGCTAGGTTTGACATTCTGCCTGTGAAAGAACACCATAAATGGTCATCTGGACAACAATATGTATAATTCATCCTGCTTTCTAAATGATACGAAATGTTATGAAAACAAGGCACCCTAAAAACCATATACCAGAAAAATAAAAATTCCAGAGCATATCTCTCATTATGCACCCCAAAGGAAGAAGAAAACAAAGACTCTCCTGGTACCACTAAATTTCTTGAATATAAACCCAAATAAAAGATTTCAGTCATGTAATTTTCCCATCTAAAGTTGATTTGACAGACAGGCTTGGCTTTGGAGAACAAAACAGCACCAACTTTTTTCTGGCAACAGAGAGACATCATTTAAATTTAACTCAATGTCTCATAAATAAAATTTAAGTTCATGAGAAATCATAGAACAGTTTACTATAAAGGATTTTAATGATATGCTGCCTGAAGATCACATCTCATCTTAAAATTCTATAAATTCTTCCTATTTAGAGGCAACTAAAAACAGTGAAACATTAAAATTATTGAAGAAGAAAATTAACACTGACTTGTAATTTATTACCAAACAATAAATTCTATTTTTGTGAGCAAATGAGGTCCCAAAACCTCTGAAAACCAAGATTTCTAGATTTCTCATAGGTTTTTAATAAACTCACTCAACAGCAAAACCTAATCTCAACATATGTAAAGTTGTTTACGTTCTATTTGTCCCACTTAACATAAGAGCACTGCATTTCACTACAGAAATGTTAAGGTCTGATTACTAGAAATTGTCCAGAACCAGCTGGGGTGTTATGCAATATACAATCTATGTAACAAATTATCTTTATAAAATCTAAAAAATTCGGCCAGGGGCAGTGGCTCACACCTGTAATCCTAGCATTTTGGGAGGCCAAGGCGAGAGGACTGTTTGAGCCTAGGAGTTTGAGACCAGCCTAGGTAACATAGCAGGACTTTATCTCTACAAAAAATTATTTTAAAAATCAACTGGACATGGTAGCACATGCCTGTAGTCCCAGTTACTCAGGAGGCTGAGGCGGAAGCATCACCTGAGCCCAGAAGGTAGAGGTTGCAGTGAGCCGTGATCATGTCACTGCACTCAAGCCTGGGCAACAGAGTAAGACTCCAACTCAAAAATAAAAATAAAATAAAACCTGAAAAATTTGGAATTCCAAAATATATCAGACCCTAAGGATTTTGATTAACAGATTGTGGACCTATATCCTCTACCTACCATGGACATTCTTCTTCTACTCACATCTCCACAGATTTTCTGATTCACTTCTGAACAAGAATCAATCAGAAAAGAAGACAGGCCAGATGTGGTGGCTCACACCTGTAATCCCAGCACTCTCAGAGGCCGAGGCAGGAAGACTGCTTGAGCCCAGGAGTTCTAGAGAAGCCTGGGCAACATAGTGAGATCTCGTCTCTAGAAAAGAGAAAAAAATTAGCCAGGTGTAGTGGCACACACCTGTAGTCCCAGCTACTCAGGAAGCTAAAGCAGAAGGATCACCTGAGCCCAGGAGGTTGAGGCTGTGGTGAGCCATGATCATGACACTGCACTCCAGTCTGGGCAACAGAGTGAGACCCCAACTCAGGAAAAAAAAGGGGAGGGGAGGGAAAAGATAAATAATCACACTTCTAGGAGCTCCTTTACATAATGCCATCTGTCACACGTAAAGTTGATTCTTCTAACATATCAGCAGTGTGACATACGTTTAAGTTGTTTTCCAAGTAGAGGCAATAGATTTGCACTAATTTCGTTACTTTCCCTTTTTACTCAGATCTCTCTGGTGAGACTGGGGTTAGATACACAGGTCATGGCAGAAAGAAAAAGCTAAACGCACTCATGGGATCCAACTATGAACTTTCTCATAATCACACTGTGTTCTAACCAATTAACTCATTCGTGACCACTGACGTGGATTAACGCCATTCCAAATCCTGTTCCTGGTTGCCGCTGACGTGAATTTACCTCATCTCAGAAGACTGTCTTTTCAGGTTTATAATCCGAATAAAAACACAAAGTACGGAATGCTAGTCAGAGTGGTATCTGAGGCAAGTACTGATATGTCTGCAACTTTCAGCTGTATTGTGAAAAAGGTGACAATTTAGAAAAGACTCCCGCGCCTTTGGGAGGCTGAGGTGAGTGGATTGCCTGAGCCCGCGGGTTTGAGACCCGCCTGGGCAGCGAGATCTCATCTCTACAATAAATCAAAAAATCAGCTGGGCGTGGTAGCGCACGCCTGTAGTTCCGGCTACTCGAAAGACTGAGGCGGAATGATCGCAGGAGCCCAGCGGGTCGAGGCTGCGGTGGCCGGGAGCAGCCGCTGCACTCTAGTCTGGGCGACAGAGTGAGACTCCGACTCAAAAAAAAAAAACAAAAAAAGAAAGAAAAGACTATTTCACTTGTGCTTACTGACAGAAATTTACAGCAACCAGCTTCAGATTTTTTTTTCATCTGCAATCAGTATGAGGAAAGTGAAAATTTTACCTATCACAAAAGTGTTAAGATAAGTATTTCACTAAAGGTTCTTTAAGAAATAAGCAACTATGATGATCCGAATGCATCAAACTGGTAAAAATCAGACAATCATGCATTGATTCAGTGACAACAAACTTTATTTGAGAATTACTATTTGCCAGGCATAGTGTGCAATACTTTACATACCTCATCCCATCTTCACAATGAACCCTATGGAAGTAGGTAATCTATTATCTCCATTTTACAGATGAGGAAATTGAAGCCTGCACAAGATCCTATGATTACAAACTAGAAAAGGTGGCAATTATCCCAGTTCTGTCAAATTA